TCCATAAACATGCCAAAAATTTTCCTAATTTTTTTGCATCAATAGAAAATGTACTGATTTCGTAATATGTTGCATGTCTGTATAATAGCAAATTCATTGTTAAATGTAAATCCTGGATTATTCCGATATGATACAAAAATTGCTACTTAAATATCAATCGTAAATACTAAATTACAATGATTAAGCTTGATGAAATGTATAAAACATTCCAAAGTTGTAAATGATAATTGCCAACTAACTATTTCATTTTACTTCACTGAAATTAATGTTATGGTATATATACATAAATACATCCGTATTATGCACAATGCAGTACAACTATATGAGGTTAATTTTATAAATAATAAATATAGTCAATTTTTCAATTTATCATGAAATTTTATGCTCATAAACTTAGTTGATATATAATTGTTATGAAGAAATAAATCAACAGCTGAACAAACCATCCCTTTGGATACTGAAAAATTATTCACTTACAAAATTTAATCATCATTTATGTCAGTTTAAATGAAACAAAACACTATTTCGAATACAATAGCATGAAATAATACATCAGATCGCGTTTTTTTTTCTAATAAAATTTTCAAAATTTTTCGTGAATTTTTACACAATGAATATATCAAATTTAATTCAAATAACTCCAATTCTATTCAGAAGAATTACAGCTCTTTGTAGAAATCATAATGCGGTAAAATTAATTACAGCAAAACCGGCTTCAATATCACACATGTATCCTTTCCCGAATAGGAGAACTCTATTGTCAGGCATAAATTTTTATCAACGATTTAACCAAATTCGGGGCTTTAAATTTCTGGATGAAGCTCGTGATATCAAGCATAGAGAGGTGAGATAAAAAAAATTGATAGTTGTTTCAGATTTAAGTAAACATGGTTTTATTCATCTGTCATGATATATAATTAATATTTTATGTATTTATTATATTATTTTTTATCAGGTTATTATTGGAGACAGTGCAATGCTCGGAAACGAATTGTCCGATGATGAATCTCCAGCTTTTGATGCAAAAAGCGAAAGTAGCCGTCTCCAACGTTTAGACGATATTCTTGATGAAGAATTTGAAGACATTGATAATGTTGAAATTAAAAAAGAAGTTAAGCAAGAGAACAAACGAAGGTCTACATGGGAATAATTCTTCCACCGACATTCTAACCGAAAATAAAAAATAGGTTAAGAGTAAAAAAAATACTTGAAAAAATGTATAAGTAGTCTGTATTATGTTGTATACATTTTTTCATTATATAGATTTTCTTGAAATGTTTCCCTGTGTCAAATTACTACTACAATTAGTTATATCAAGTTTATCAAATGTTTGACTTTGTGTCGCAAACGATTGATGCCGTAAGTCGTAAGGGCCTCGAAGAGAACGACAAAATGAGTTTCCGAGTTTGTAATTAAAAACTTTTATTTCTATACAAGTATAGAGAATCATTGTTATTGCTGCAAAGTATAAAGTGAACTTTGAAAGATAAAGCGACGCTTCTAGAATATATTCTCGTTTCCTCGCAGTTAAAACAACCAAACTAAAACTATGATTCTTTGCCCTTTCAGAGACAAAGGAAAAGGTTCTGACGTAGAAAATTTCTAACTTCGGGAAACTAATACTAATCTTTTGTTTGAACTCGTTGTTTGAATAAAATTTAATTTCATCATATGCATAATGATATGTGATATACCGATATACATTCTGTTTTATATGTAGAATATGACAATTAAAATATAATTTTGGTGATTTATTACTTAAAGCTTATATAAAATATCATGATCTAGTTATGTGGTTTCACTTGTTAAATTAGTTGATGACTGAATATATAATTTAGTTCATAAAATGCAAAGTTGTATATATTTATTTTTCATGCAAATTAACCTGACATATTTGTTTTATAAAATTAGTATACGGGGTAGGGAGTGGTTTAAAGATCCGGAGGTAAAAAAGGCAACACCAAGAAAAATCCCAAAAAAACAAGAAAAGCATAGTACTTTTTAAAGATACTATTTTAAACTTGTAGGAAAAAATGTATAACCAGCCATCATCTTAATATCTACGATGTCGGTGTTAGAATTTCAAAATTCATTACAAATGTTTATTGTTAGTTGGTAGGTTTATGGGTTTGAGCTATCATTTAGTTCATGATACTTGTTTTATAAAAAGAATTGCCATTTTTAAATTAGATTCAACCGTTTTTTAAATAACTTCTAAAATAACTTACATTTGGTTAAGGTTACAAGGTGTAAATAATGAGAAAATAAAAAAGAGCAATATCTAAAAATGTTAATTTTACTAGAGAAAATTTAAATTTAAATTTAAGTTTCATACAAATCTTGTACGGAGTATGATCTTTGTAAAAAATGAACCCATGAAATATGTAAATTCACATAGAAGTTGTATCTACCTCACAAGTATTCAAAAAAGTACCTCATAAAAAATCACGTGGGGAAAAGGGTCTAGTAAGATATCATGTGCATTTATTTTTTACTTAAATTTTCAAAAAAGAAACAAAAATTTTACTAAATTTTAATTTTTTTGTAAATTTGAAAAGTTTGTAAGAAAAATTGTACGTGACTAAAAATGCACGCAATGTTTGGTGGTAGAGCGAGGGGAAATTCGAAATATCACTAAAAATCTCTTAAAAAATTGATCACGTAATTAATGGACGCCCCCTGAATTGAACAGGATTATCTACCGTAAGTGTCTTCTGACGCAATGTATAAGTCAAATGTAAATAAGACAAAATTTTGAGAGGAGATGCAAGTAATAATGTAATCACATGTTTTAAAAATTTTTACTTTTATTTTTATTTGGTGTTACCCTTCAAGGAATTAATCACATACTGTAGAATGCGCTTAGTATGACATCGAAGGGATGCCGAAAACTCGTCATACTAAGTGATCTTCATACAAAGCGTACTGAAACAAAACTATTTTATTTAAATATGTTACGCATTTCAGTAATTTAATAGAAAAGTATATACGTACATTTTAATTAAAAATAAAAATGACACATATTACGTGGGCGGGGCACAAAGGTCCAATTTGGGTAACACTATATAATTTTTAAAAAATAATTAATCCTCCACAACCGCAGCCTCAATTTAAACGCAATGACTGTCAATTTCCTTACCCCTGTATAATTATTCCCAGTTGTTGCGTAGTGTACTATTACAAAACAAAGAGACCCGGTCGTCCGGGTCGGCGTGTCTATGCAATAAATATGCGCCATTTCATGGTCTGACCATCCTAATATGTTTACGTTGTTCGCCAGAGTAATAGTTAATCCGCGCGCGCTCGGTGTACACCGCGGACGGACACACGGACGCACGGACAATAATCCGGCACTAAATGGGCCGGTCATGCTTTACGGAGATCCCTTGAGCGCCGTACGAAGTAAATGGAGATAGAAGTATTTTTACAACAGAATACACGGCGATAATTTTATTAGCGGTTACATAGTTACATGGTGTAATTTAATTTTCTCACCAAAATATAAAAACAGGCCGTTTATGTAATTAGTTTTGCATAATTCAAAATCTTTAGCGCATCATGACTAATGGTACCCTTTTCGGGTATAACGAGGAGCTCAGCGCGTTGGAACAATGATTACAATAATTGTTGATCAAAATTTGGATAACAGCATTTTTTTTCAATTTTAGGTAACATTCATGTAAAAATAAAAAATAAATTCTTTTCAGAAGTTAAAAAATTTCGCTCATATATCAAGGGTGTCTCAGAACGGGGTGATAGCATTGACAGTATCTAATAGATACTATCTATCATAAAAAAATATTCCATGCAGTGTGTAATTATGAGCTTTTAAGAACACCCTAGAGCTTTGATCAAACTGTCGGTTATTGTGGTCGATTTTTATTATTTTTGTTCATTTCAACTTCGCATCCATAACCGTAAATTATATTTCTTGGACCATAGTCAAAAACAATAGCACAATTGCATCCAGTTGTCTTGAATTAAGACTATTAGTTAAACTGAACATAATATTCAAAACTAGCAAAAAAAAATTATTTTATTGTGATGCTTTCAAGTACTTTACCATTTTACAATCATGTCTAAATGTGTGAATTTTTGCTGGAATTTGCCAACGAACTTTAGTAAGTAATTTTTTTTAAAGGAAGGCCTTAACTGAGTTTTAAATAACGTTTCTAAGACCACAGTGAAACACAATGGCACAATTGCATCAAGTTGTCTGGAATTAAGACTAATTGTTAAACTGAACAAAATATTCAAAACTAGCAAAAATCTTTTTTTTATTGTAAAGCTATAAATTACTTTAACATTTTACTATTAAGACTGATTGTATGAACTTTTGTTAGAACTTGCCGACGTACTTTAGTGGGTACATTTTTTTATAGAAATGCCTTTCAAAATCAGTTTAAAATAACATTTCTAGGACCACAGTAAAACACAATGACATAATTGCAACAAGTTGTCTAGAATTAAAACTATTTGTAAAAACTATCAAAACTAGTTTTACAATTATGATTAAATGAGTGAACTTTTGAATTTTGATGCAACTTGCCAATGTACTTTACTAGGTACATTTTTTTCAAAGAAGGGTCTTTCAAACTCATTTAGGTAAATTTATTTTTAATAAGTATTTAGGTAAATTTTCATCAATTTTCCACTTAACTTGGAGCTATTGTGTCATTATTTTCCACTATGATTCTAGAAATGTTATTTATAGTTAATGTCTCAAAGTTTATATAAACAAAAATAATAAATATTGACAATTATAACCGAAAAATGATGACTCTTTTACCAAAGCTCTAAACTGTGCTTAAAAGCTCATAATTTTTAAATTATACGGGATAATGTTTCAAGATTGAATTCCATAAAATAAATTTCTAATCATAATTATCCCTATCATTCTCGTCAAAACTTCATTTATATCCATTACAATTAATTACCTGAATTTTGCTCTTTGGCGTAAAACTATCATGTTTGTTAAAATTTATTTTATAGCTAGTTACCTGAATCTCGCTCTTCGGCATAGAACTAGTTTGTGTGACTGCATTCGGGCATCGATCACTGAATTTAGTAAGTGCATCTCCGTATAGAGCAAAAGATCCTGCTGCTCCTGGCGGAGGAAGTCCGACGCCTCCGATGCCATCCTCTACCAGGCCTTCCTGCTCGGCGACAAGAAGAAAGCCGCTGAATTTATGAGGGACGTGGAGCGAGTGCGAACCTTGCAAACTCACTGAAAAAAAATAAATTATTCAGTAAATTAAATAACGTATACTTGAATATTATGTTCGGGTATCGTATATTAAATAACACTGCTCAAAACAAAATAAAAAACTTTTGTTAGACGATGGTCCAATTTAACCCGATACATGCTATATGTGTTTCTTCTCTCTATAAGCAAAATTTATTACAAGCATTTTTAATATCACGTTTTTCTTTCATGTTTTCTATCACAAAACTTTATAAAAGTTCAGGTATTTAATATCACAAAGCGATCATTATTGTTGCTATGCTGTAACTACGTTCGATAATCAATATTGAAGCGTTCTTTTACTTTCTGACAGACTTCTTATTTACAAAATAAAACAAAGGATCAGAGCGAAGCTTTCAAACAATAATATCCTTTTGAAGAGGCTCAGGTAAGAGCTCACCTCTTCGGGCGCTTTTTAATCAAGTTCGCGCAAAGGAATGATGTAATAAAATCAATTTGGAGTAACGTTTAAGAAACCTTACATACAATAAAAATAACAATAAAAGCTTCACGTTTATTATCAACGCAGGGGAAAATACTTATTTCTCTTATATACCCCTTAAATACTCACCCAGAGATACCTATATTTTATATACATATAAACTCAGCTAAATAGAATCACTGTAAACAAACTTTTATAATATTAATAAACAATATTTATAATATATATATATATATAATTTGTTATGCTAAATGACATTTTATAAAGATTATTTCATTTTTTTTTAATTTCAATAATTATTACAACTGTTAAATAATTAACATGTAGCAATATTGATAAATAATAACATAAATTTAAATAAATAAGAGTGCAAAGGATAGAATTTACATGAAAATAATATCTGTAATATGATGATTTAATATAAAATAGAAGCAAATAGAAGTCCTTGCATTCATATTAGCATTATATTATGATAACATAAATTTAAATAAATAAGAGTGCAAAGGATAGAATTTACATGAAAATAATATCCGTAATTTGATGATTTAATATAAAATAGAAGCAAATAGAAGTTCTTGCATTCATATTAGCATTATATTATCAGCATATAACTGATGAATGATTAAAAAATTTATTAAAAATCTTATACTTAGTATTGAGAAAACTTAATAATTTTGCATTAAAAAGTAAGCAATTTAATTTGATAATATAAAACCTGACCTAAATATTTTTCCCAATTCCTTTGCATCATTTGAAAATATATTTCTTTTTCCTTGAATATATGTATATTAAAATATTTGAGATCAAAGTGTTATTCATAGGCAGGGACACCAAACATATATACGTTGTATTATTCTCATCGCATGCATTATGTAAGAGGAGAATATTTCGTATGCAAATGTCGAATAAAGTAAAAGAAAATTTGTCAAAAATAACCATATTCTCCACAAACGGAAAGGGAATTGAATAGAAAACTTACAGGGGTGGAAATAAAATATACTGAAAAATCACAAAATAAAAGAAAAAAGTTACTATTTTCAATAAATGTGAGAAGGGCAAGAATCCATTACTATAGCTTTTAATATCTACCAATGTAAAAGGTTTCTTCTGTCCTAAGTTCAAGAACATTTTCTAAATGAATCGGAACATTTGACATCACAAATGATTTAATATCGATGTTCGTTCAATCGAGAACTAAACAATAAATCATCGAACAACATCTGCCCTGTAAGAAGTTCGAAAGAAAGATTTATCAGGTCGAGGCGCCCCAGATATTTTCTGCAGAACAAAACAACACGTCAACATAGAAACCGGAACGCGGGTAAAACGAAATCGCAATTATTTCCAGGTTAACAAATGTTTGTTGAACAACGTTTTAGTGATAAAGCACAGGTTCTCAACGGTACCTACAGCCAAAAATATTATAATAAAAATCATAGTTTTGAATGAAATAAATGGATCTAATCTGTTAGAAGTTCTACAAATCTCAGATTCCATAATTATTAATTTCCGAGAGGAGAAGTTTATATTTTTGCCACAAAATTTCTAATTTTATATCTTCTCATTTTATTTAATTCTGAATCGTTTGACATGATTGAATAAAATATGTTTGTGTGTAAGTAAATCAACATTTGAGTTTTCGTCAACGTTATTTCTAACTTATTTATTTATTTATTATACATATATATATATATAATATATAAATATATTAATTTATTATATATATATATTTATTATTATATATATATATATATGTGTGTAAATAAGCCGAAGCTAAAACAGAATCACTGTACTCAAACTTCTATAATTTTGTTGCAATAAATGATATTTTATGAGTATTATTTTAAATTTTTGTATAATGAAGTCCTTGCTCTCATATAAGGAAAAGCATTGAAGTATCAACATTTAACTGATGATTGATTAGAAAAGATTGCTAAAAATCAACCTATTTACCTAATTTTGATAAAACTTAAAAATGTTGCATCAAAAAATAAACAGTTAAACTTGAATTTGCTAAACCAAATATCCTGTAAAATAAAATATTTTTGCAAGATCAGCTACGCCTTTTCTTAAATATATAATATTATAATAATCACCAAAATTTGTTCATATTAAGTTAAAAATGTGTTTAAAAGATTTCAGCCAAGTCATTTCCAAACAAATATTTGGAACCGATTTAAATAATAGAAAAATATTTGTAAGATTAGTTGGGAATCGTGTTGATCAGTTTTTCGTAAAAATCTAGGGTTAGTTTTAAAGTAAATAATCGTTAAGAAACAAGTTGTTTGATGATTTTTATGTTACGCTGTTAGATGATATATATAGCCTTGACAAACATCCAAAAATATTGAAAAAGTGGTTGATTTATAAAAATTCATCAAAACTTGGAATAGTGCGTCGTGCGCCAAAATTCCAACATTCTATTGTTACAATTTTAAAAGTAGTGAAATTTAAATTCTTATTGATTAAGTTGATTATTTATAACTCTCGGTGACCTATAAATTTTTGAACCTGGAAATAAGTCAAAATTTCACTTACACCTTACATCATAAAATTATAGATATAAATTTAGCAGTTCTTGGGTAAATCTAAACCTGCTCCTGATTAAAAATTAAAACTGAAATAAATCTATAGAAAATGATAAAACGTCAATTTACGGCAAACAATCTGTTTCCATACACACACACATACACACACATAGTACACACACATACATACCTACACACATACTTTTTCCAAATTTGGTCTCATTCGATTCAGAAACGTGGAGAAAATATAAAATTAGCGAATCAAATTTTTTTATGAAAACAAAAACTTCTTCGGGAAGTTAATAATAATTCTACATATTGTTTGTAATAGTACTTGTGGAGTTTATTACATGTAAATAAGCTCTACAAGTCGAGAAAACTGTTTTGAAAGTATGTACTGTGAAAATGTCAGCTATACTTTACTTTTTATTTTGACGGTTCAATAAGATATGCTTATTGAATATAAGAATATATATATATATATATATATATATATATATATATTGGGTTTCCCAGACCTTGACGTCATTAAGGTATTGGACCTTAATTGGTCTGTAAAAAAATTAGAAAAAATAATATCTCAAGTTATTTCAAAGTAACGAGCTTTTAAGTGCAATCAAGAGCTTTGGTGAAATTATGACCATTTATTGTGATAAATTTCTATTAATTCTGTTCATTTAAACATTAAAACGTTTTAAAACATTTTAAACTATAATATTTAAATTAAATTGCAAATTCATATACAAATTTACATCCCACCAGTAACAATATTTAATATAATAATTTATAATTATGTAAAGTATTTTCCAAAATATTGACTACCTTTGTTACACACGAATTCGAAGAAAATCGAATGAGTCGAACGCGTGTCTTCGACAGGCGCCCCCGGTGCGATGCCGATAAATCGACTCAGGGGAGACGGGAGCTTTTGCAATTATTTCTAAAGACATATTGCAAGAAAGTGAACTGAAACGTGCCCATGTAGCTAGAATACTGTGTTATTTATTGATCTTCAAATATTTCAAAAGGAGGAGGAAATGGGATATTTAAATTTTGACTGGGATACACGATACGTTACAGGAGCTGCTATGGAATTTAGTAATAGGAAGACATGGTTTTCTATGCGAATAATATATAATGGATCTAGTTTTCTATGCAAATTAGGTATAAATAATCATAAGCAAGTTTTTGTTAAAACTAAATATAAAGATTGTATTTTGCTGTAGGGAATGCAATACCGATGGAAAATTTCAATACCGGTATTTCGGTAATTTTTCATTTTAAAACCGGAATACCGGTAAATTACCGGTATTTTTATTACCTTAAACAAACGTAAACAAAATTCAAAGTTACTAGTACAAATATAAAAAATGTATATACCACTACAACTATATTCAACTGAACAATAAAATAAAACAATAAGTATATTTAATAATAATTTAATAATTTAACAAAAGCATATGCAGTTTAATCAATTCAATATCACTATAAAACTAACTTATGAGTACTAAAAACAAACTTATGAGCAAGAAAGACCAAAAACTCATAAAAGGTCATATTACATTATTATAATAAACTGTATTTTCTGTATCCGATGTGTTAAATTAGCATAATCTCCAATATTTTGAAAAAATAATTTCTCTACACTAATTTAAGATCGGATTCCTTATCGAGATAAATAATAAGTTATTATAATTGTTGAGTATTGTTATTTAAAACAATGTGATGCTTTCTATAGTATTTAGTATTGATCATAATTATTATATATAAAGTTAGAAAAAAATAAAGATTACGCAAGAGTAATCTGTGTGATATAAAATATTTTGGCGCAAATATCACTTAAAAAACCGTTACATTTTTACAAACATCATTATCTATCAGTCTATTTATTGTACCACGATATGAAGCTCTTTGGAAAGCAATAAATAGTCAGTTTAATGACGAGTTGAGATAATATTTGACATTTGTTTATCTTATAGAATCACTTGAAGATATAGCTGTTTTTGCGATTATGGAAATTAAAGATAAATTTGTTCAGAAAAACTTAAACTTTAGGGTATTATGTATTAAATAGCGCTTATGTAAAAATACTGAAAACACCGATATTTTTGGAATAAATATCGGTAAAAATACCGCCGAACAATCGGGCGGTTTACCGGTAATTCGGTATACCGGTATACCGGTATTGCATTCCTTATTTTGCAGCATACGCCTTTAGTTTGCTACAAAAGTTTCTTCTCTATTCAGAAGTGTATCTTAATTTAAATAAATTATTATCCTTATCTCCTTATTCCATAATAGCCCTTTAAACAGCTTCTAAATAACATTGTTGATTTACACATCACTAAATCGCCTTCTCCTTTCCGAGATATCTTGGCCGAAACGATTTATTTCCCTTTTTCCTAATTATTTTCTTGCGCCACAGGCATCCATGTGCTCGGGCGATTTAGAAGAAACAACTTAACGGCGGCCAGGAGTGATAAGAGAACTGGCTTCGAAAAACATTGCAGGAAGAAAGATGCTTAGGGAAAATGGAGAGAAAAAAAAACAACAGGCCGTCTGATAAATAGTTGTGCGACACGAATCCAGAGTGAGAATATACGGGTAAAATTCCAGGGAAAATACAAACAGAGGAGTGCTTAAATATATTGCTCTAAGGAAAATGGGCGGGAGAAATTCATTGTTTCAAAATACCGATCGAACAAAAGGATATTGAGTGGGTGTGAAATACGAAGATCACATGGTGGTGATAAATTCGCAAAATTTTAATCAAAAGCACATACCACAACATGCTTATGTATGCTACAAGCCGGCAGAACTTATATAAAATAAATGATTTTATCGTCTGATTAAAAGCAGTGCATAAAGGTCTGCGAGCAAAAAAAAATAAAAAATGTATACATTTTTTTAACAATGCTATTTCAAAATAGAAGCCAAAATATGTGTCAGCCTTTACCTTAGTGCGACATCGCCATCAAGAGATAAACGCCTATGTATAAT